TTACAGCTGAACTTTATACAATTGATTTCTGTCATGCTTTGGCTGTAAAGTGAGTCTAATGGGTGGTTGGGTGGGGATACCGTGAGGCTTGTGATGTTTGCTAGTGTTGACTGTGACAAACTCCGGTCAGGACAAGGAATGAGTGCAGCAACAGGGAAGAAAAAAAAATTACTTATTACTTATTTTTATGTAAGGTTATTTTATGGGATGAATATTTAGTTCCTTGTTATTTACAGTGTATTTAAAATTTTTTTCTGTAGGGGGTTATTTTCCTTCTCATAATTAGAATCATAATTTTCCCACTGTGTGCTGGGGAGAGTATTTATATGTAATCTCCCTGAGTGTAGAAACTGTGATCATCTTTATCACTGCAGTTCCAGGAATCTTGCCACAGGACCCAGGTTATATTATACTTGTTCAAGTCAACTAAATTCCTGAATATTATCAAGCCTATATTAGAAGGAAAGATATTTTTTTAAAAAATGATTTCTAAATTCTCAAACTTCTTACGAATCTGTCAGTTTTTAGCAATCCACATTATCAGAAATATTTATGATTTGTTGCAATGTCATCTTTTCTTGTTATACGTGTAGTGTTTATAAATGTTTTAATTATGTATATTTATGTAATATAAAGATTATTTGTAAATAATTTTTTCAATAATTAAAAATAATATGTCAACTGGTTTTCTAACAAAGGTTATATATGATAAAAATTACATGGATACTCATATGAAAATGAGACTTTATTTTTAAATAGAATAATTTGACTTGTTACTTGTTGACATCAACCTATTAGACCTGTATAACCACATAAGTGGTTATATTCTTCCTACACACCCATGCTCTCTTGTACCCCATGAAATAAAACTATATATATCCATTGGATCTATCCTGTGTCTTAAATACATTTTATTTTTATGATCATTATCATAACATCCCCTATGTTAGTAAAATTTAATTGGGGTCCTGTCTTATGTACAGCAAGATAGTATATTTATAATAACTTTAATAGTTAAAATATAGTTTTCATTTTACTGGACTTACTTTTAATTTTTATGTATCTAGCAAAAACCTTAACAATCCAGAATTGGATTTTAAAAAAAAGAAATAATAGAAAAACAGTCATAACCTTGCCTTTAAAATATGACTGAAAAACATGGGTTAAAAACAATCCTTAAACCACCCACATATCCTTGGATTTTGAGAGGAGGCATCTTTAATACTTTTTCTTTCTGCAGTATTTGTTGCTTAAGGAAGTCTGTGGGTAGATAAGAGATTATTATCCCTCCTACACACCGATTTCTTATTTACAACATTAAATCTCCATATATACAAGCACTTGGAACACTAATCCTTTTTGTTCAATCACTTTCTAAAATTCTTTGGAATTTTGTTGAAATTTTACCTTCCAATAGAACATTTTACAATTAATTATAGTTTATCCTGATTTATCTTTTAAAGCATGAGCATATCCAAAAAAGATACCTGAAGTAGATGTTTTTTTTTGACCACATATTTTTCTTTGAAAACAGAATTCCATAAACTGTAAGTCTTATGTTGAAAACTAATAATGCAAAGTTATTTCTTATATTACAAGTTTTCTGAATCACCAGGAGAAGAGCATAGACTCTGAAATGAGAAAAGCTACCCTTAATATTTGTATGCAGTGTTTGCTTCTTATTACTTTGAAAATTGCCCTTATGAATGAATGCACAACTGTAGATCATGTCAGAGACACAGTCAACATGTTATACTAATAAAGTTAACCAGTTGAAAATTTCGTCTGAATGAACAGATCAATAGTTAAAGATTTTTAAACTCCTATAAAATGCATCCAAACAAGTTAACATAAATTTTATGAAACCTTTATATCCCTTTTATTTGCAATTAAAATGTTCCCTCAAATGCAATAAATGTCAGATATGCACTTGTGCAAAAAGTCTAGGCTTAAGTTATTTAAAAAATAATCAAGTCTAATTTTCATTACTACCACAATATTTACTCATTTAAAAATATAGTATAATCAAAAAAAGTAAAAATTGATGTATTTTAAAATAATTTCAGAATTTGGATGTTTAATAATATGATTTATGTTAGTCACACATAAAAATGTTTTCCAAGTAAATTTGTTCACTTCACTATTTGGATCAATGCACTCTATTTCGGAATTATGTTAACTTTTTGTTAAAATAAGAAATTGGAAAAATGACCACTAACCTTCCAAAATGCTTGTAAAGATGACCTAATTATCAACTAAACATAGTACTGAGAATATATTCTGTAGGCACCAACCACTTAGAAAAAAATTCTAGCTATAATTGAGATTAGCCAAACAATCATAGGTTATTTAATCACTCCAGGGTAATTCAAAAGAAACTGATTCTGGACCCTCTGATGACTTGGTTGTAGGCACTATATTAAAATACAGAGCCAGTACAGTAACATCTGTACAGCAGAATATATGTATTTAATTCAGGTGCACTGAAATCAGAAGCACTCAACCACTGAGCCAAATCTCCAGCCCCCCTCTTTTCTTTTTTTTTTTTCTTTTTTTTTTGTTTTGGTATTTTATTTAGAGACAGGGACTCACTGAATTGTTTAGTGCCTCAATATTGCTTAAAGCTAACTTTGAACTCATGATCCTCATGTGTCAGTCTTTGGAGCCAGTGGGATTACAGGCATGTGCCACCATGCCCAGCTCAAATATATTTTATGTACAACTCGAAAGTTATGTAAATTGTACTCTTGTATACCACTTTAATTGTAGCTATTAAGACTTTTGGCATCTTGTAATAAATATTTTAAATAAAATTAAAACCATTAGTATTCCAGAGCACAGTCACATGTAGATTGGGGGAAAAAAAAGCAAATTGGTCAAAAATTAAAACATTTACCTCTAATTTTAAAAAAGTTTGTTCAGCTAAGAATAAATACACATTACTAAAATTTTCAGAATCCTGATTATTTAAAAGATTTAACTCAGAATGAAATAGATTTTTTGCTCTAGTTTTTCTTAAACATCTTAAGAAATTGTCATGTTTCTTTTTTTACTCTAAGTTACCACAAATCACCTATAATTGAAAGGAATAGAAAAAATAAAAAGGAAAAGAAAACAGAAAAAAAGTGGTTTCCACATGATGTATCACCCATATATTATGAAGTAAGTTATAAATGTCATACTCAAGAGATTAAAATTATTTCCTGAAAAATTCAGCCTTACTCAGATCACAAGACAACATAATGAACCAAAGATTTCAATATAAAATGCAACAAGCAAAAGTAAATTCGACTTCACTTTCATTTGCATGCACTAACAACAGTGAATGAAAAACTAAAAACTAGTGTCTGAAACAGAAACTATATCCTATCATTTAAAAAGAAGAAGAAATGATGCATGCTGTGATAGGAGACTCAATTTAACAGGAAGGGAAAGAAGATATCCTGTGTTCTGTGGATTTTTTTTTTTTTTTAAGATGCTAGAAAATGAACAAGGCTTGTTGGAGGAATAGTGGAACAGTTCAATCTCAACACAATATCTGCCAAATTAGATAGTCTACACATAAAACTAAATGGCTTGAAGGTATACAGAATTCTGCATAGAAATTACTTCCTTACAAAAGCAACATTTTAAAAATTAAATGATTTCTTAATATTCCAGTGATGAAACATCAACTTGAGGAAATGCTTTTTTTTCCTTTTCTTTTTCTTTAATATTTAATTTGTTCTCTGAACTCATCTTTTCAAAGCCTCTAAGGAAGCTTCCTTGAGAATAGCATATTAATTAACCACACTGGGGTTGGGGGTCAACTTAATTTCTTGAAGTAGAGAAAGACGGTCCAAAACTCAAGTGACTGTCCAGTATCATGTGATGCTGAAAACAGTCCATGCCATTGACTCCTGTTTAGTTTTAATCTTTATGGGGAAAACAATATGCTCCAATATGCAGCTCTAATTGTGTTCCCTAAGTGTAGTTTATTTGAATTAGTAAAGCCTTTTACTAATAAGTTACATGAGGCAACTTGAATCTTCAGTTTCTCAAACTAAATAACTGTGCACTAAAAATCTGCTTTTCCTAAATCCTCAGTCTTCTTCAAACTATGCATTTAAAACGTAACTCAAAATCATACATTTAATGATTTTACAAAACTTAAGAAGATCTTGAGATATTGATATTTTTATTAATGCTTTGTTATTAATCTTGAAATTATATATAGGTTTTTGTTTGGGTTTATGCACATAAAAGTAGAATTTCACCTGGCCTTCATTTGGAAAAGCACTTGAGACATTTAGAATGAGTTAGCATTGAAATTTTCATTTGGTTTTAAGTACATTAGATCCAAATTTTAAATTTTCTACCTTTCTCTTACATATTCCTATAAGCAAAATGAAATTCAAAAAAACATGTATCATATTTTTATGGAAAAGAACTATATTTTCATGTAACCAATAAAGCAAAGATAATATCTTGGTTTCATTGATTTAAATTTGTTTGAAATTTTTTTCTATTATGAATGAAAGTTCCTTTAATTTCAAACTCCAAATTTGGTAATCAAGACATTGACTATATGAAAATTATATGCGTGTTAATATTAGTACGTTGGCATTGAAGGAAGTGTTATGTATTTTTTATTAAGTATTATGTACTTTAAAAGTGCAAATCTAAATGATTTCCTCATGATATCTTTCTGTCCTCACATATATGCATGGAAACTTCCTTTTTTTAGGAAGTTTTGACATTCTGAGTCTGTCTCAAGGACAGCTTACTCAGACGCAAGTAAATGAACAAAAAAAATGAAATGGAGATAGTATATGATTGACAAATAGAGTAATTTGCATGGTAGATACATTTTCTTAGCAAGGAGAATGATTTTTGTTTTCTCTTTCCTAAAACAAAAAATGTAAATTTATCTGAGACCTTGTAATAGAATATACATAAGAAAATTATCCATAATAATATCCACATGAGTTTTTAAGTATAGAAAAATAGCAACCTCCTACCTCCATCTCCAGATCCTGATCCTGTATCTGGTAGGAGAAAAAAAAAATAAAACAGAATTTTTATTCACTGGAAAAAAAAATATTTTAAAATTTGACATCTCAAAGTTCAAGTTTACTTTCTTAGTCTAAACCTGTAATATCATTCTGAAACTTACTGATAATTAATCTGATAATGTATAGTTACACCTATTTGTCAATTACTACTAACATAATTACATAAAATTAGTTTCCTATCACTTTTGTTCTTAAAGTTTATAAAAAAAAATCCACCTTTAGGAAAATTCCTAAACATAACAGTACAAAATTCCTCAGATTTTTATTTTAATTAGGCTAAATTTGAAAACTTTAGCAACATAAAAATTAAAAATGAATGGCTTTAACAATAAGTTTTCAAAATTAAACAGTACAAAAAACTAAGTGTTTAAAAACTGAACAAATAGCAAATAAACTCATAGGTAAGGCTTATATTCTTGAAAATTTCACATGACCAAAGAGAAAACGTTTAAAGATAAAACTTTTTATACAATTGATAATGTTTAACAAATACCATAATTGTTGATACTTCTATCTATAAATAAATTGTACTTTGTTTTTGAAATAAAGAAAGGAATAAACTTAACTTGCATCTTTGGGTTTAAAATTGGGTATATATTAAGTGATGTTGGAAGAAAAAAATCACCCCCTTCTGAATTTCTCTTTCTCTACTTCTCTCCCACCTCTTCCACATGACTAAAATTGACCAAAGTTGTCTGAGAACTCAGAAATACCCAGTTTTCTAGTTTTAGTCAAGACCACTGAGTTTCCACTTGCTTTTACTTAGCACAGGTAGACATCACCTTCCCTCTGCATCCTAACTTCTTCACATTCTAAATACATTGAATTTTGTATTTGTAAAGTTAGTAATAGGAGTATGATTAACATTGAAATCTTCTGTCTGATGTACCATCATCCCACATTGAAATCTCAAGACTTATATCCAATGTTACCTCTATGAATTTTTACTTGATGTTTTAGTTATATTGAAATAAAACTTTACTTCTCTTTGTCTGCCTCCATGACATATTATTGAGAGACACTACAGAGAAAGTAGCATGGTGAATGAAAAATCCAAAGAAAGTTGACAAATGGAAGAACACATGCCTGCCTCCCTAATAGTCCTCCATGTTACAGCATTAAAACTGCCTGGAAGGAGCAGCAGTGAAATTGTTAGACTTAGTGGAGACTCACATTAAGTAAATTCACAGGTTCTGAGACTGTATGACATCAAAATGTTGATTCATTAGACATATGCTAATGTGATGGTATATATCTTTCCTTAAAGGCGAGCTAATTTGTGAAATCAATTTATAATAAAAATATTTCTTGTAAATATAGAACCATACAAATAGTTTAATCATGTTTACATAATATAATGACAATAGATCAATAAAAACTTGATCTGTTATTATCTCCATCATTGGAGAATATTCTTGCCCACTGGACTGATAATCATAAGTTTCAACATCATTTCTTTTGGACAAATAGTTGCACAAATAGTCCATATTTGCTAAATTTCCTTTTAGTGTTCTTTCACAGATTAAATTTATTGACTTTATTTGAATTAATTTAGAAATTTATTTCCATATTATTTGTATTCATCAGGAACAAAATCACAAGTTATAGTATTATAGTGCTAATACATCTACTATATTTAAGTTGAATGTATACTTTGTCATTTTCTATTAAACTCATAAACTGTGTACATTCATGTATGGGCCATTCGCTTCTATACTTACATGCACATAAGAAAAAATGCCCAAAAGCTTATGAGTTCCCAGCTCTAAATATCACTCAACGAATGACATAGGAATGTTATTTAAATTTCCTAAACTTTTCTTCTATTTAATGGGCATAATGATACCTATCTCATTGGACTATTTTGAGGCTAATGGTAAAATAGCTTATTTTAAATGTTTAAGCACAGTCTGGAACATAATAATATGTTGAATAAACATCTTGCATATTCATTGATAGGTTTTCTAATAAATGTGGCTGTGGGAAATCAGAAAAAAGTGCCAGTAGTATTATGGCTTGTGTTTTCCATGTATGTTTCTAAATATTCAAGGGACATGGTCCTTAAGACAATTCATGTTTGATTTGACTCCAGATAAAGAGCTGGGGAAGAAAGCAGGAAAAGACTGGGACAATGAATCCATTCAGTCCATGGCATCATTAGAAAATAGGGAAAACTTTAATGTTTTTTCAATTATAAGATGAGTCATCTTGGCAAACCAGAGATCAGCAGCCTACTAAGGACTTATGAGGATGACAGAATACCTATGAAAAAAAATGTTATGTTACTGGATCTGAATCTGGGCTCCTAGTTAATGCATTTCCCACAAGGCAAAAAGTTAAAGTGACAGTGAGACCGTGAGGAGACTGTCCAGTAGAAAAAAATATTTTGTGGACAAAAACCAAAATATATCTAAGTTCAATGAAATAAAATTAACATAAAATTATATATTCTGTGACCTTTTTATTCCTACAGATCACAATTTGCCACCTTCAGTCAGTGTCAAATAGTCATAAAAAATAAATGGAAAATCTATGAAGAAAAAAGCATGAAAAACTCTTTCAGATAAAAGAATTCCGATCTTCAATTTATTTACGGCTAAACCTGTTTAATTGAAATTATTTTTGTATTTGCCTCATCTCTCAAATCAAAAACATTTTTGATTTGCTAGTCAGAGGAAAATGCATTCAGCAGAACTAGCTTACTAATTGAATCCTGTGGAATCTAAGTGTGTGAATGAGCTCAGGACAGCTTAGTCAATTGTGATTACATTTTCAACTTGGCTAAGTGTTTATTTCCATAGTATCATCCAGCACATCAGGGACTAGAAAGAAAAGACTTGAATGAATCAGGAGAATGTGATTGTGTGCACTCCTAAGAGGCTGGTAAGTCAGAAAGACAGGTCTTAGCTAACAAATATAATTTGCCACAACCTTAATTTCTGGTCTATTGTTAGACTGTTGCCTCATTTGAGGATTGTCAGAGAATCACAGATATACGCCCTGCCGTGAAGGAGCAAATCCTTTCCTCAATATTCTGGGACTTGCCTATACTTTTTCTGGTTTCTGGGAGACTAAGTTTCTTCTATTTTTTTTTAATTCCATTTGGCCTAAAGTGTTATTTTTCATTTTTTTCTTCCTTTAGTATGGCTGACTGAATTTTCACACAATTAGTTTGTTTCTTGCCTTTCTTTCTGTTTTTCCCACCTCTATTATGAGAGCAACAGGGGTGTGTCCTTCTCTCCCCAGTGTACTTGGGAAGCCCATGAGGCTCATGCATTGCTGTCACTTTTATTTGTTACTATTCACTCAAGACTAAGGGTGCATTAGCAATAAAAAGCAGCAAAGCACCTGTCCACACTGCCTCATGATGCTTATTCAGAAAGGGCATTCGCATCTAGAGGCATAGGGCCTAGAATCGTTAAGGAGAAAAGACTACTTAACCAAAACCAAATCCAAAAGCCTGCACATCACTGTGAGAAATAGCACCAACCCTCTTCTGGTCAGTGTGAGAAACCTTGGTAGTCATGAGTACATCTCAGAATATTATTAACCATTAACAATCAATGGGCAGAAGACAATCTAAGGAATATAAGACTTTTCTCCTTGTTCCTTTTCCACTCTTTCCCAGACACCAAACACACATCCTTTAACTTAATGTGCTAAACAGAAATAACTTCTATCTAAGAGGAACTTTTCAATAAAATAGGTCTATCCCAAAACCATTTTCTATTTATACCATTGAAAAAAGTTCATTTTACATCATTATTATTTTTCCTCAATAAATTTACATAAGTCAAATTCTCAGAAATTATAACTTTCCAGAAAGATCCCCATTTGCCATTAAGGATGACTCTTATGAGACATGTAAGTTTCTTTAATACAAGTACCAATGATAAAATCTAACCTAAAGACTCAGCTCGATTTTAAAGAATAGTTTTGTCAAGCTGGGCTTGCACGCCTCTAGTTTTTTCGGCTGTAATGTTGTTAAGCTTTAACAACCACTGCACAAAAGGAAAACACGGAAAGCTAATGAGCATGTGACATCACTCTCCCCCTTTATTTATATCATCCTTCATATGTATAACAGCTAAAAAGCTTTATAAAATCCCAAGTTAACTGTCAGAAAAGACAAATGTCATTATCAATTATATCTATCACCAATACATTCTTCAATATAATCTGCTAAATGGTAAGAAGAGCATTTTGTTGAGCTGCTAATGTTAGGTATTAACTTCAGAACTTAAACCTTCGAAGATGCCCTCCAGGACATAGCTATATTTATCTAAACAAACAAGAAAACAAACAAAGTTTATGCTTGTATAGATAGATTTCTACGTATTTGGTACCTGAGCAGTCAATCAAGATTTCCACTTATACATATTAAACTATCTGTACCTTATTCAATAACTTATTATTTAATTCTGCCAATGTCCTTATGACACAATTTCTTTTTTGTTCAGAGTGATTAAAATGTAAAAAGACAATAAGAATAGTGCAGTATTTTGTACCAAAGAATAAGTGGCTCGTCTAGTCAATATGGAGTCTGAATTATTTATTTGAAGACAATAGGAAACACAAGACATGATTTTTTGGATTCAGAATCCATAAGAAGGTCTCAGGGAGGGTCACATGCATACCTGTGGCACACGATCCTTCTGATACCACAAGTATCTCACTCTGCTGTTTGCACGCAGCCTGCCGCAGGTAACACTCGTTCTGGTAGCTCTCCCCATTGGAGCCACACACAGGCACATAGTCACTGTTGCACTGGAGAACACAGATGGAAGCTAATGTTTAGTACTGGAGTCAGCATCCCTCTGAAACCCTGAACAGAAATAACAACTTACAAAACAAACCATTGTCTTCAGTTTCAGTGATGCCATTTTATCCTATAAGTCTTTAATCTTGTGAGTGCATCTCTTAAAGTTACACAAAGGCTGTGTCAAATCAGCCAAACAGTGATTTTATTTAGAGTGGAGTAACAAGATGTATCTAAATTGATCAGTTGATCAAAAACAAAGTGACTGAATCAGTTGCATGCAAAACATAAGACAACAAATGTACCCATGCTATTTAATATTGTTTTTCTGACTTTGAAGAAAAAAAAATCAAAACAATATAATATTCAAGATATTGAAAACAAGGTAATGCTTATCTGTGTGGGGAGCAGAAGGATGTAGCTAAGATACTAAAAATGTTCTCTTTTTTTCCTATTGAATTTTAATCATTGCAAATTTCTGAATACTCAGATGAGATACTGACTTATTAGTTCATTTTATGTAACTTTCCAGCATTGGATATTGATGTCGATATAGTCTAGCAACAGACTAAGGATTGCAGAGAAAAAAAATTCAAGAAATCTGAACTATATGTAAACTTTAGTGACAATTCCAAAACATGCCTATTAATATATATTTCAGAAAGAGAAAAGTTAATTTTTAAAAACAACCTCATTGCCAAAAAGTACACATTTTTACAAGGGAAATTAGGCAACCTACCGGGTATAGTCATCATAATATAATCACACTCCAAGGCATTAGAGATACTTGGCTGTGTCCTATACCTGCTAATTACACCAGGGATGTGATTATCTCATGATTACTACTACTGATACACTTCATTGTTTAATTATAACAAATGTAATGATCAAGATGATTATTTATAAATGCTTACCTATGCCAGAAACTAAGGAAGGAAAATCATTCATAGATTCATGCAAAAACACTTTTCTCTTTTCTATTTTTAATTGTATTTGGACTGTTAATGTGCTGTAAATGTACAATACATACAAAATAAATCAACGATTTAGTGAGGTCACTAAGAAGGTTTTCATATATATGTGATACTAAACCTAAAACTCTATAATAATTAAACATAGACTATAATAAGTAAACATAGGATTTATGCACACAAATGAACTCTTAATAAGGTGAGAATCCAATTGATAAAAACCTGAGATGCATTTATGCTCTAATTTCTCATCATGTCTATCGTTCTTATTCCCAATCAAGTCTTGCTCTTTGCCTTTATGTAAAATAGCTTAGTCATCCTGACAAATTTATAAATGGTATAAATCAATGTTCTCTGAAATGAAAGTCTTATGAGTCTTCCTTTTTATCACTGAATAACTTAAATATTATATTTTGCTAACTATGATCTACTTTCCTCCATACAGTAAATCCAAGTTGTATGGCAATAACTGTTAACAGAAAGATTTTGTACATATTTTAGAAATCTTATTCATCTTTCTATGATTTATAATTGTAGGCACTCTGAAAACCTTCTATGTAATAATTACTTTCCACAGTTATACCTTTCATTTCCAGACACTGTTTATTTATGTCATTAGATTTTATAAACACTAATTTGATTAAAACTTTTTGCTGATCTTTCATTAATTTTTAGGGCAATGAGCAATTTACTTCTGATTGGATGATACCTGTGTAAGAGCTTTCACAGGGTGGATGGATGGATCGGTAGACAGACAGACTGCCCAGTTTAAGAGATGTCTTCCACAGGTGTAAGACACCTGAATACTGACCTACCATAGGAGTGAGCATCTCCTCTGCTACTCAAGACAGAAGGCAAGAACAAAATGTGAGCAAAGAGCTGAATTTTCCAATGATCAGTACTGAAGGGAAAACAAATAAAGGGGACCTGTGCTCATGTCAGAACCATGGCCAGGAAGGCAAGTGAATGGACAGGTGCTTGATACACATGCTATGTTTAGGACCTGGGATGAAAGAAGGTTAGAAGGATTTATGGGGCTTGCTAACACTGTGATGGACTCTGAGCACATGGAGGAGAGATGGGAAAGAAGGCAACAGCTGGTAATGTTATAGCCAACAGACTTGCTAACCCTTTCAGTAGACACATGACAGTCAAAATTGAAATGGACAGCTAAACCCATGTGTGGGTCCTGAGATTCTTTGCCACTGACTATCTTTTAATCTCTCTTTTCACCCCCAATTAAAATACTTCAAGTGTAGATTATTTGGGTCCACATTTTCTTCTGCCCCATCCTTAAAAATTTCTCTATTTGGCCTTCTCATGCACTTCTGCAGAATACTCAAAAGAAGAGTCAGTGGACCTGGAGTGGGGAGTGGGAAGTATTTATTATCTCTGTCAAGTGCTATTACACAATGCTGATATGCATCTTAAAATATCGAATAAACTGATAAAGTGTTCATATGTCGTTTCTGAGACATGTAGTCAGCCAAATATGAACAGTTCTAAAACAAGAGCTGCCAAGTTCCATGCACAAGCCAAGGGGAGATTTGTACAGAGCTGAAAAGAGCTTAACTGTAGATTATCACCCCAATGCTCTGGGCCTTTAGTACCATGACTTGCACTCATAACATGAATAACACAAGAAGGGGGCATGTCTAAATCATTTGCATTCAAGAGTGGGGGTCAAGTGCTAGGTCTTCCTATTTCCCTTTCTTGGTGTATACCTTATTTATATTACTCAAAACTTAAATATTTAACAAGATTATAGTTTAGTTTCTTCTTTTGAAATTGTTAATTGGGATAATTGGGGAATTAACAAAGTTATGCTCTTAAAATAGGGAATATTTTGGAAATCTCATTATAATAAGAAATATAAATTATTTGGCTTTTATGACATGTATTTTAACTAGCAGTCACAATCTAACATTAACACCAAAACAGGGAATTTCTAGAGTTAGGGGGAAAAAAAAGAAAAACAAGATAAGAGCATGAAAATATGCTAAACCCTACTTTAAAATATACAAAATTATTGGAAATAGTTTTGATTATTAATGATGATATTGCTCAGTTTTAGGTGAAGGGACAAATTCAGATGGTTAGTGACTTGCTAAAGTCTACCTTGTTGGATGGTAAAAAAAAAAAAAAAAAGAAAAATACCAAGATTCAAACCCAGATGGTTAGGTCCATAAATGTATGTGTTGGGCAAACTTCCTCACAGAAAAAAAAGTGATTCTATTTTGCCTAAGATGTTTTTAAAATCTCAAGTTTATTTTCTAAATATGTGTTTTTCAATAGAATGATTTTGTTCCAAATTTCTTCATCATTTATGATATCAGCGATCTACCACACCAGCAGATTCAATAACTTGGTATAATGGAATATATGGAATTCATTTCTGCTACAAAGGAATAAAAATTATGTTAAAAGTATTTCATATGGTTTATTGCTTATTTGGTTAACAGGGGTTTTTAGTTGAAATTTCAGCATCTAGAAGCTATGTATGACTTATGTTTTATATATTGTCGGCACCTTCCACAGAGTCTGGCATGTAGAAGGTGCTCAACAGATGTTAAGTGAATTCTGTTATATTCCCAGTTGTCAAAGGCTTAGGAAGAATGGCTTAGAATATGGTATATTTCTCTTCCAAGAAAGAAATTGAGAAAAAACTTGCATATGTTGCAGTCCTTTGACCATTCTATAAGCAACTTTTACTTCCCTGTGGCTGAATTTCCTTGAATGTAAAAATTTTACCCTTCAAGAATGGGCAGACCTATGATTATGGTGACAGGGACTCTGTGTGGCTTCCTGAGTTAGGTCATTTAAAGAAATCCCTCCCCCCAGCATATTTTCCCTTGAGTATCAGCCTCTGTGTTACGAGAAAGGCTAAAGTAGCCCATATAGAGATCAACATGGAGCAAAACAAGGTCCCCTACTGGTACTCAGATATAATTAAAACCCTGAGATGCATGGAGCACCTCGCCTTTGAGTGAGCTCAGCTAATGGCAAAGAAAGCAGAGATGAAATGTTTCCATTGAGCCTTATCCAAAGTGAAGATTCATACACACAAAAAAAGTCCATTGTCTTTTGCTTCTAAGCTCTGCGCATTCTGTTATACAGTCCTAGTAATGAGACGTTTGTAGATCTAAAGCATGGTTTGTTGAATAAAAATATTTAATATTTGAATTAGATAAAATCTGAAAATAAGGCTTCATTATATTTTAAAATTATAAGGTGATTATTGATCATTGTATGATGAGCACTAGTAACTATATCCAATCTTCTCTTTCTCCCTCCCTTCTTTCCTTACTTCTTGCCTTCCTTTCTTCTCTTAATCTATTATTCACCTATCTACTGTATTTAATTTTTCACTGTCAAAATTGATTTACAAGATTGATCATCATATTATTTGGTATATAGACCGGAAAGTTGGATGCAAGAGATTGCCATTTTTGTAATTTATATAATCACTTAACAATCAGTTGTATAGATTGAGTATTTGTTATCCAAAATGCCTGGGACAAGAATTCTTTCATATTTTATAGAGTTTGGGGAATTTTGGAATACTGGCAGAGACATTGCCCTGTAAACATACCCAGACCAAAAGTCTGAAATCTAAAATACTCCAAAATCCAAAATTCTTTTAGTATCATATACAACTTCAGAGCATTTTGAAGTTTGTATTATTGGATTAGGGACATTCAACCTTCATTGTTTTGTATATTAAGAATTGCCTACAAAAATCTGGCACTTTTGTCATTGATATTTTCATTTTCATGTCTAATATCTTGGGGGAAAACTGCATTTGTTGTCAGGATCTAGCTTCTTACTCAAGGATCACCACTTAATGGTGAGTTACTTACATTTATGAGCCTTAATTGATTCATATTTAAAAGGAGAAGAAAAAAAAAATTACCTAGTTATAAGAAATAAGTGAGATAATATGTTTAAAGGGTAGAAATAAATTTATTTAAAATTATCTAAGGAGGATAAATGCTAATATATAATTAGTCACTTTAGTGGGTCATTAATAATACAAATTGGAAGACATTATAGGTAACATGCATATATGGCCATTTCTCTTTAAAATTATCTCGCAGCAAGAAAGACTATAGTTTGTATCTTATTTTGAAGGGAAGAATTCATGTTTCTATCTGAAAATGCAAAGGAACCAGAAGTTTAGAATTGTAGGTAGAAAATTGTAGGCTTTTAGAACTTCTCACCTTTCTTCAGGTACTAGTGCAGAAAAACAAAACCAAAAAAAAAAATTAAAATTCACGTGAAAGTACTGTGAGAAGACTGTATATATTCTATATTCCTGGTATATGCAAATTCATTATTGCATATACTATTCTATATTCCCAGTATATGCAAAATCTAAATTTTCTACTAGGAAGATATTTATTTCCTTCTGCCAGGTTGACAACTATGGCAAAACACACATTAATAGCAGTAGTGATGAAGTAGTAAATTTAAAAATTCACCTTTTAAAAATTTTACATTTTACAAATTTACATTTTTTGTTTCTATTTAAACTTGCATTCATTGACCTCTACAATCTATTCCACTCAAGATTTTTTTTTAAATTAATGACAAATATATTAAAAACATAAATATCTTTCTTAATAAAAATTTTACCAGAATCTTCTGTGGCAGCTGAAAAATCAAAAATAATTCCTTTAATAAGAAAAGTGGACTTTTCCATTTAGTGGCACTCATCCATTTAGAGTTCTATCTACTCTTCCCTCCCTTCAAGGTGAAATATTAGAACATGGCTTTCCATTTAAGGAATTTTCTTCTTAGTTTATTTTATACTGTTTATGAATTCATTTATTATATCCACCCTTGGTTACAAAAATAAGACAAATTTAAGAGAATCACAAAGTTAAAGGGAAAATTTTCAGAAAATCCTGTGTGTGTGTGTTGGGGGGTATCTTTAATTAGTGATGTGTCTAACTTTTTTTTACTGTTAACATTTTGGGGAAGTATGAATTGGGGAGTTCTCATGTTCCATTTTCTCTTGTAGTTCATTGAAAGAACATAATTACATTGCTCAGCGTAGTGGAGACTTTGGAAGTCTATGCATATTAAATGTGTTTTTAACACTACAATATGGTCTTAATACTGGAGTATAATCACAGCAGTAACCACCCATAGGAGGTAGTGCACTTTACAAATGGCACTTCTTTTACTGTGTTTCTGAAAATAAAGAAAATAAAGTCTATGAAGCTTTTAGTCTATGTAAAAGTCACTTAAACTATATTGAAATATGAATCCCCTTATATGTTTCAGTGAGTGGTTAAATTCAGTCTAAGATATTTAAATTTCTTCAATTCTACATATTACACATTAAGTCAAATGTTTAGACCAGAATTTGAGATTGATGTTTTTATTTGTTCTATAACTTCCTTTTACTTATATTCTTGGAAAGTATTCTTATCTCACCTATAGAGTTTTGTTTACATGCATATTTCCTTGTTGAATCTTATATTGATGTCAAAGGATATTTTAAAAAGTAAATAATACTCAAAAGAGAATACAGAATACTCACACAACATCTATGTAATTGAAGGTATATATAATTATATGAATATTTTGAGAGGAAAAGGTTTATAATTTACACTATAGAAAGCATTTGTTAAATGATGATGATAATAACATTGAGAGTTTTATCTTTTAATAATCTAGTTTTAATGATACCTACTATACAACTTTTTCTGTATTTTAATATTTGAAAACTTTATAACACGGGACCAAGAGAATTTTCTCACATTCATGAAGTGACTTACAATTCAATGCAATGTGCTTATTTTGATTCATGGGAGATTCAGTTCTAATTCAATGTGGTATCTATTGAAAAGTTAACACATTAATAAGGTCCATAATTTCCAAACTAGATCAGTAGTTTCAAAGTCACATTAATCAAAGATTATTTAAATATTTAATCATATTGAAAGGAGAATGAAACCCAAGACCATTAAAACAAAGAGCAATAAGTTCAAAATATGATATCCCTAGTCAAAAGGAACAAAGGTATACAGATCCACAATTTTTACTGGTCAACTATTTTGATTACTACCCCCAGACTCTTGACTTTCAAAATGCACTCTAGAAGGGACAGCATATATAAAAAGTGCAACCTGAAGCTTTCTACCTCCAGTGGCATGATAAGTATGGTACACACAATTCTTCAAGAGGTGACATTTTCCTGACATCTGTTGGCTCTCTTGCCAATACTTTTGCTTGATGCCATCTTTCCTCTTAGCTCATATAGGTATAAATTGACAAGTGATGGTTGAAAAGGTTGCTTCATAGTCCCTTTAATGAATTTGAAGATGCAAAGACATCTTACCTTGAACTGACAGACGCAAGTCACAGTGTCTCCAATTCTTAAACATTCCCCATCGAATTTACAGGTGTTGGTGTCACAGAGGAAGAGATCATTTTCTCTGTCATCATAACCTCAAATTTAAAGAGAACACTCTAGTCATTAAAACGCATTAGATTCACCAAAGGACCACCTTGAATCTTTAAAAGAATTTCCCTAAATTTTAATTCCAACAACCAGGACACTCTCTACCAATAACCTCACAAGCTAGTTAAGTGATCAACAGTCATTTACATCCTTCACAGATATTTTGTAGTCAATTTTCTTTCAATATCCTCTTTTAATAGTGCATTTCAGCTTGGGTGAATACTGACAACAGTGAATGCAAGTTTTACATTTGCTACCTAGCTTCTTTATTTTTTTTAACTTTTTTTGTTCATCAAATGGATATATATATATATATATATATATATATATATATATATATATATGAAAAAATATTTTGGAAAACTCGACATTTTGGGAAAGAGCTGGTGATGGTCTATGAGTGCTATTTTACCATTTCTCCATATTTAATTGTTCTTTTTAAGGTCTGAAACCACCCCTTATTTGGAATTTCTCCAGACAAAGAGGAAACAAAGCCCCAATAATAAAGATAAACAGGCACAGTGTATTCTGTGATGGTCTGTCTGGCTCAAATGAAGATTGATCACCTCTAAGTTAACAGGGTAGGAGGGGGATGCCAAGTTCTTGACAATCTGCCTGGAAAACCAGTTCATTCTTTTTAGTTTGTACAGATCCCTTTAAGATATCAGGCCAATAATGAATTTCTCTATTGCCAATATTAATGTCACATTTCAGTTAATTATTTCCCCAAATAATACCACAGTTATGGATGAAGCAAACCAGTCATGTTAGACTAAGAAGCCATCAACATTTGAAACAATTGATCTTGAAGATTATTTAATGTTCTTATAACAAAGCATCTAAAAAGTGACAAGGCACCTACGAAGTAGAACTTATTCTTTCAAAAATAGCTTATGTGCATGCATAAACCAATAATAAATTTTAAAAACATGAAATTTATAAAAATGTCAAATTTAGAAATCACCAAAAACATAACAAAGACCTATTGACCCAGTGTAACAGGGTTGCAACTTATTTTAAAAAGGATAAATTAAAAGGATGCATAATAATTTTCCTCTTAGAATTTAGATCAGTAATAACTAAGAGCTACATATTCTTTCACTTATAAGTTACAGTTAGTCATCTCCTCCTCTCAAAAGTTACATACACTTTGGCTCACATACATCCCTGAAAGTCACTTCATTCAGAGCCAGATTTAACTGTAGCAGAATTATATTTACAGAAGATGAAAAATTACATGCACACTTGCTAAAACTAGAACACACCAGACCTAGGGGACAATACCCAGGCATGTTAATGGAGTTTAAAACGCCAATGAAATCACACCACAATTCCACCTGGTATACTACAGGCTGTCATACTGAAATGCAAAGACTGCTAGGAGTGCAGCAACTTCCATCCTATGGCCCTATTTAATTAGCAGGCTTTAGCACAGCGAAGGCTGCCAAAGCTCTTGCTTTCAGACTCTGAAGGGACCTGAACAAGTAAGAGGTGCAACAGCCCCACTCCAAACCCTGTCCGGAAATGGAGGAGTCAGAACCCACAGAGGTCAATTCACCTTCTGTCCCCCTGCATGTGAGCCTTCCCAGCCTTGGTCATACCTACTCTGGCCTGGGAAATTTGTGAAGGGTTCCTTCTCAACTTCCCTCCATCACACAGGAGGTTAGGGAAGTAGAGGAGGGGTACCTTTGGACTGCAAAATCAAATACAATGTCTTTTGCAGCAAAGGAAAGAGGGAGAGAAGGGGGAGGAGAAGGAGGGAGGGAGGAAGACAGAGAGAGAGAGAGAGAGAGAGAGAGAGAGAGAGAGAGAGAGATTGAGATTGATTGAGATTGATTCTCCTGAAACCTACTCCTTTAGAATCTAAGTGACCTGGTCTTGAATGCAAGACCATCATACTCTCTTGGCACTTTTGCCAGGAATCAGTGATTCTTCTGCAGTCACCATTTGATTTATTGCTTTCTCGCTTGTTCTTTCTCATAAAGTTATTTCTCGCTCATCCTAGACAGACTTTTTCTCTAATGAAGGGAAATGTTCTGTTTAGTGTTTCCCATAGGGTTGTTACTGTTTTCAGTGAACCCAGAAAACCATCCCGTTTAATATTTTTCAAAATCCTCAAGGCGTCAGTGTAAGTGCAAGCATTCAAAGGTTCCAGCACCTGCACTTTCTGCCCATCCCAGTAGCCCCCCTTCACTCCCCGGAGGGGGGGGGGCTGGAATAGCTCCCTGTTTTTTTCTGGATGGAGGTAGGGGGTTTCAGGTTTGGGGCGGTGGGAAACAAGAGGCTGCGTAGCGACTGGCCTATGCAGGATAGGAGAGTTCTTCTGAATGGTTAAGGGGGTCGGGTGGGGGGGCCGGGTTCTGGGCTTACCAGAGCAGTTCCAGCCGGTGGGTGTTTGGCAGTCACTTAAAGAGGTAGGGAAAGCAGCGAGCTTCACTGGGCGGGCTACAATGAGTAGCATCACCGGCAGCAGCAGCAGCCAGCAAAAGCCCTCGCAAAGTGTCCAGCTGCTGCACTGCCGCGGGGACTCCCACAGCACCATGACTAGTTCTCGCAACTCTGCAGCAGCAAACGGCTTCTGAAGAACACAGAATTTCGGGGACCAGGCAGCGGGCTACTGAGCATCCCGCGGACGGTGGCAGCAGAGACGGCGGCGGTGGCAGTGACACCCGGCGGGGAAGCAGCAGCCAAACCCGCGCATGATCTCGAGAGTTTCAGCAACATCCAGTGACCCGGCTCAGCCCGGGGAGTGAGAGGGTCCTCCGCTGAGAAGCAACTCCAGAGATGCGATAAGCTCTTGCCATAAGGAGGGGCCTCCAAGAAGCGCAGGAGACACAAGTCCAGGAGGCAAAGGAGAGGAGCCCAAGGAGGAAGGGTGGAGGGAGAGTCAAAGCGCCCCGCAGCCTAGCAGCCGCCTCTCGCGCTCTGCCGCCCGCATCCCTCTGGCGTTTGGGAAGCAGCAGGTCCTTAGCCCGCCCGGGATCACGTGGGAAGCGGCAGTCGGTCGCTGATTGGTGGAGCGGGATGCAGGTCCCGAGAGGGAGGGGTCGGTGAGGAGGTGCAAGGAGGAGGCGGCCGCGGATGCCACAGATGGGCTAGCTTGCCAGGCTCTAGCCCGAATGGAGCTAGGCGCGGATAATTCATGTGAAGAAGCTCAGGCTTCAGGGTGGGCGACCCCCACACTCCTTTATACCTCCTGCTTCACTCTCCGCTCCAGGACGCCCCCTACCGAGCTCAGGGTCCAGAGTTGCGCCTCTCTTACATGCGTGACCCGGGGCTGTGAGCACCCGCCGCGGCTGGATGGCGTCTTCTTGGAGCAGGAGATGGTGGGGGTGGAGGCGGCCGAAGAGCCGCAGAAGCAGGGCAGAGAGGGGAAAGCGGGCAGGGAGAAGAGGGAGTCCTGTTGGCGCCCGGCGCTGAAGCGTGAGGGAGCGCGCCGCCTGAGCTATAGGAAAGCTGGGAATGTCGCGGCGGAGAGCCCAGGGACGTTTCTTTAGACAGTAGCTGAGAGAAGGAGAGGGTGAGAAGCGATGGTGTGAGTGTGAGAACAGCTCTGGCAGGCCTGGAAGCAGCATTTCCCACAGGAACCTTCAACCCCGAGGCTGCTCGCCACGCTGGCTCAACCAGCCTTGCAAGCTCTTTCCTCTTCCGAGTCTTTTTCTCCCTTCTTCCCTTCCTGGCCTCCCGCAGCTCCGACCCAAACCAAGGGGTGGAAGATTTGAATCCCTGTCTCCCATCACACGCTTTTCTCCAGCCCAGAGTCTGTATGTTGCTGCCACCTGGAAGGTGCAGGTGCGGCCAGATGTGTTTCGAAGGTCAGATTTGGTCGGGACAAGTGGTCTCAGAAGAAGGGAAGGGTTCCTCTGCATAAGCCAAGGGTGGTTTCCCGGGAGCGTCCGCTGGGAAGCAGCGTCCGGGAACAGCCGGCTCACTTTAGCAGCACTGGCAGTAGCCCTGGGCGCTTTACGCAGGTCTCTCTACCTGATCACCAGTGACCTGGAGAGGCTAGAAGGTCTAAATTGGCAGGAGTCGCTGGCCTGCGCGTTTCTTTATTTCGCTCCAGCGGGCACTGGGCAAAACGGCGTAGCGAGACCCGCCTTCTGCCTGCTGCATTCTTCACGCAGTTAGACACACTCTTTAGCCTAATGGGTTTTTAGTCATTAGGACCCATAGCTTTCTGGGACCGGATGGAGAGGAGCATCTTTCTCCTGCGACTCGGTCACTACTGCAGTCGCGGTGTTTTGGATGCCCTACAAGGAAGAGTTGCAAGGAAGAGTTTTCTTTTTCTTTCTTTTTAAAAATTATTCTCTCTCTCTCTCTCTCTCTC